GCATCCTGGGCAAATTTGGAGGTGCCAGGGGCCAAATTGAGCTTCCCCAAATTGATCAGGGTCTGAGATGCTCCCTGCTGAAGAGTCAGTCCTTGCTAAGGCTGATTCCTCACTGACCTCAGCCAAAAAGCCCTCATGTCTGTCCCTGGAAATCATGTGAGCTATGTCGTCTTCCCCTTGTAGGCAGATCACTTGCACATGCCAGTATGCCGCAGTCAGTGAGTGAGAACTGGCCAAACTGAATTGCTCTGTATTCAAACATGGTTGTTCAGCTTTTGTTCAGTTGAGAGCAGACCTTTGTCATGGCAAAGTTACCATTTGGCCTTACGTATGTGGTTGATTTAGAGAAGGTACTAAATTGCAGGCTTGATTTAGCCGTTTAAATCTCTCTATGTGGCTGTAATGGCCAAAACATAATGAGACTTAAAATTCTCAGAACTGTGCCCAAAGCTTATTTTGGATTTGCTTTACAAGAGAAGCACAAAGCTTTCTGAGAGAGAGAGAGGAAGGTGTTGAAATCCAGCCTCAAATCAGTGATGAACTGTTCAGCGCACTATCTCTCAGCTGTAGCCTTGGGAAGACATCTTCGCTCCATGTGCATCCCCCTAGACCCAGCTTACAGCATGGAGAGGAGCCTGTGGGATAACCTGTGTCAGATATGCTGTCATGAACCATCACTGCTGCAGGTGAAAGGGGGGGTCTGTGGCCAGTTTCCGTGGTAACTGGTAGGCACCTGCAGCTTGTTGACGCAGTAGTGGATCTGTCCTTGCCTGTGCACAGAGCATTCAGTGATGGACATATGTAGCTGTCCTGGAAAAGCCTTGGCAAAGGGTTGATTTTATCAAGGGCAAGCTTTTTCCCCCTTTCTAACAAGGCATTTTCACTTCTGTTGCATTGAGCTCTGTCCCTCAGTTTGTTTAGTTTGTATTTATAAATATTGGGGTTAACTTTTATTGTTTGTTTGAAACGTGTCTTTCTTTTGTGTTACAATCTGCAATGAATTTGCAGAGTGGTTCAAATTTATCTCTAGTTTTGTGCTGCTTGAAAGAAAACAAATCAGCCCATGAACTTGTAAAATCACAGAAAGTCATTTGCTAAAGTCGTAAATATTGGATCATACACAGGATTATGAAAAGATTAATTCTGCTCTGAAAGAGCAACTCTTCTTTGTATGATGTATATCAGGAAGGAGGTTTGTTTGAGCCTAAGGGTGGATTCTCTAGTGTTCTGATTACCACTCAGAGCTACTAAAGTGTTAAACTACAAAAGGTTTGTAACCAGATCCTGTGTATCCACTCATGTTGTGGTGTTTTGCTGTGCACCCTGAACCTTTGGTCCATAATGCAGCTATTGCTTGAGTGAGGAATGAGTGGTGATTGTCAAGATTACAGAGATGGAGATTAATTTTTGGTTCGAGATTATATCTGGATCCCTTGTGCACTATTTGCGAGATTATTCTCCAAACCAGTAGTTTTAACACTCTTTGTGCTGCTCAACATTGAGACATTTTATTTCATGGAAGAGTTCATGGAATCATAGAATATGCTGAGTTTGAAGGGACCCACAAGGATCATTGAGTCCAATTCCTGGCCCTGTGCAGGACACCTCAAGAATCATACCATGTTCCTGAAAGCATTGTCCAAATGCTTCTTGAACTCAGACAGACTTGGTGCTGTGACCACTTCCCTGAGGAGCCTGTTCTAGTGCTCAGTTACCCTCTGGGTGAAAAATCTTTTCCCGATATCCAACCTAAACCTCCTCTTGACTCAGTTTCATGCCATTTTCTCAAGTCCTGTCACTGGTGATGAGAGTGAAGCAAGATAAAGCATAGTTAAAAATAAAACAATGTTCTCCAGACTCCTGTAAGGTTTCTGGTAAATGTTTGTAACTAAACCTGTCTTGCACCACACTCCTTACATGGCTTTTAAAGAGAAGAGATGGCTAATCAAATTTTGTGTGCTCATGTAAGGATGCCCAATATGCTTTAACCTCCTTTCTTCCTCTCTCTTGTTAAGCATCAGTAATGTTAAAGCTAAATAGCTGGAAGCAGTTTTATCACTTTGCAGCAGTGCCTGGCCCTGTAGTGCAGGTAGGGCTTTCTGAAGCCAGGGAATGCTTGCAATTGCAGTTCAGGTTTTTTAGTTCATTGGGACATCACGCCTTTAACCAATCAAGACTGGTGAGCTAACAAGTGAGAGGGACCTCCCGTTGTCTTCTGTGGTTTTGTACTTCACAGCTTCCAGAAGAAATGATTACTTCTACAAAAAAACCTCAACCCAAAACCTCAGCACAGCACTTAAAGAAGTGCCCATGGAGAGTAGAAATCAAACTGGTCATTAGACAGACCATAAGCTTTCAAAGGCATTGAAAGTTTATTCCCAGAAAAAAAACCAAAGGACATTTTTAGAAATGTACTAGTAGGTATGATTTTTCTGAGATGTTGATATAGGGACAGTCAATGTAAACAATCCAGGAAAGAATAGAAGAAATGTCAGGTTCACCTTTGAAAACCAAAGAAACATTTCAATAACCTGATAACACTTTTCTTGTGTTGTTCTGAGCTTACACTGCTTTGTACATTTCAGCTGTCCAGAAGTTTCCTCAAAATTGTGCATGTGTATTTGGATGACTTTAGGTCAGCACATGCTGAACGAGATCTTAGAAATTCGGTGTGGTTCTTCGAGCACAGGTTACAGGGTCTTCCCAACTGGTAATTAACCAGTCAGTTTAAACCCATTTTCTGCATACTTTCATCTGTTTTTCAGGTAGTGTGTGGTGAAGTTACCAGTGTGTAACACTAGGTGCTGTGTTGGAGCATGTTTTAAGTGCTCATCAATAAATAATACATTAAAAGTAGATAAGAAGTCAATTCTTTGCAAAGTTTTGCAAATGTGTATATTTATACATTTGGCAGTATAAGGACACTTAAGTCTGTCATCATCACTTTCAGCAAACACTACCTTTACTTGTAAATTATTTTGGTAAAAGCCTACTTCATATAGCCGTGGGCAAGCAGATTAGTCTCACCTAGGGATTGCTTGCAGCTGTTAGATCACTTTCTCCTTAAAGTCTTGCCAGTAGTGTCCAGGATACTAGAAGGTGAATTTTGCTCCACAGAGGTCCACGATTGCTTGATGCCCATTTCAGTGGGCATCTGCTCTGAGCAAAGGAGAGGATTGCTGCTTTTATAGACACAAATCTATTTTCTTGTTTATTGAAGTCTTGATGTAATGGAAGTTACATCATCGTACAGATCAACAGTTACTTAGGAGGCAGATTTGAAACTTCAGCTAAATGTCTTGAACACATACAAGGCTGGGTACAGGACTATGTGACGGTGTGTTTAACAGTCGTGCCCATATTTTCACATGGTCGGTAACTTGCAGGTGCTTGAGGTGCCTTTTTGATGCCTAGTGTGACTTCAGAAGGTATAATAAGTAAGAATATATAAGTGAGCTAAAGAATGGAAGGGATACAAAAATTGCTGTTTCTGTAAATACTACATAGCTGATCGCTGCATATAAGAAATGGAAGATTCTAGTGTAAGTACATGAAATACAAGTCTTACCGTCCAAGTTTTTGGACAAAACAGAGTAAGTAATGCATGAACATATGATACTCATTGTACATATACACTGAGCATAGATAACATGATTTATACTGTGTTTGATGTAGCAGCATTAATTTTTGATTGTACTGGATTAGTTGTAAATTTTGCTAAATATGTGCAAGAAGATAACGATTTCTGTATGCCCTAAATTTGCTGGATATTAAATCACTACCAGTAAGAGCTTAGAAGAGGAAAAATGGATGCAATTCTGGATGGGGATGCAGTAGAAGGGAGCTTTGTTCTTGACCTGGGTACTGGTTGATCTTGGACACTTGGCTTTCTCTTTCTCTCTCTCTTTCTTTTCCATCTGCTAAATGCAGCTGTTAACCTTTTAGCAGACCTCTTAGAACAAAACAATTTGAAGTCTTCTGATAGAAATAACAGCTAATTCTTATCTAGAGTTACTATTCAGTGAATCATTTGTACAGGGTGTTGGTAACAATGAGGCATAATTTTAGTTACTCCCAGATAAAACCTATGTCCTTAACCATGACTTTGCTGTTGTTTTAGTATCTCACTGACTTGTTTTTAAGTTTTAAGACCCTGAAAACAGACCAGGTACTTTCACTTCATTGAACAACTTAATTGTTCTTAAATGCCAGATATCATGATCCCAGAAATGTAGATCATCAGTATTTCTGTGGACAGTGCTCTTTACCAGACATTTGGACTTTGAAGAAATTCCGTATTGAAGAACAGCTACAGGCCACTACACAATGCAGAGAAGATACAGAGAAGACAGCAGTCCTTCATGGAGCACTGCAGTGCCATGGAGTACAACCTGGCACTTCCAGCTTTCTCCTTGCATTCCCAAGAGAGATTTTTGGAAATGCCAGGAAAGAACCATGACCTCACAGTTTATCTCCAGTCTGAACCTTCACACGAGATTATTGCCAGTGGCATTTCTTTGAGGCAGTAATTGCTGTCAGCATTGCTGCCCTCTTAATTTAGATTAAATTAATTTAATGTGGATACAAACATACTTCAGTAATTCCAAAAGCTTTTGCCGTAGAGGAAACACTAACAACCCTGGTTTACCTAATTTTTCATGATTCCTTTTGTTTTGCTGTGATAGCCCTGAGTAGACTGTATGAAAAGCAGGCACAAGAATCATGGATTTGCTGCAAGAATAATTTCAAAAATCTGTTGGTATTAGCAATAGCAGTATGTGTGTGAATGTGTTACATGATGAGGGGAAAATCCCAATTAAAATCTTGCTGCTAAACAAGTGACAAAGATCTTGCAAACAGTATGAGACTCTGGGCCAACTATGGTTATATTAATAATAATAAATCAGATCTGGTTTGATACCTCCTACACATGGATTTTTTTTTACCAATTGTCATTTTTCTAACTTTAATTTAGTTCGTGTTGATTTTTTGCTTCCCAGCTTTTACTAAATGCTGTCAAGAAACTGGTTTTCTTATGGTGGTGAAGTGTCGGCAAGAGAATACAGCACTGAAAGACTGCCTGGTTGGCTAGTAAGTCCCTCATGAGTTTTCATTGGTTTTTTGTGCATGGCCTATACTAATCTAGAAATGAGTAGAAATATTAACTATTCTCAAAAGGCTTGTGCAAGGTTAGGGACTTTGATGTATTTTCTGTAAATGGTATCTTTTCTTTATTAGAACCGTGTTGGTCAGGCCCTAACTGACAAGATTTTATTTACCATATAAATATATGGCTGTAAAGACTCTGTCCGTGATTTACATGGTGACAGATTTCAGCCCAGATGTCCTGTAGCCCTGTATTTGCTCTGTTGCATCACATATGTGAGGATGGGGGTGAGCAGGGAAGCACCTTCATACTCTGTTAGTGAGACAGGATAAGTTTGTTTTCATTTTGCTTCTTGAACTGTTCTTTAAGATTTAGTCTGTCTTGAAAGTGTCCTGCTGTTGTGAACAGCAATAGCAGCAGCAGCGGGAAATTGTTAGATATAAGAGAGGTCAACTTGAAGCCATGGTGGATTGAAATGTTTCTTTTGGAAGTCCTAAGTTATTCCCAGTGCCATCAGGCTGAGTGTTAGATTCTTAAATCTGCCAGGGTGAGAGTTGGGGATTTTTTGAGTTTCACTGGGAGAAAAAGGATGTTCATTTGGTTTTTGGTGGAATGTGTGTCCTGCTCTGTTAAACCAGAAATTAAGACTAATTGCCTTTGAACTAGTGACAGTTATTCTCAAGTATTTGGGAACTGATGAAAAAAACATGTCCAATCAGGTGAGAATTCAGGCCTAACTGCAGTCAGAACTTGCTGGAGTTACTCAGTTTTATTTGTCAGTACCTTTGCCTTTTTAAAAAAATAAAATGAAACAAAATGCTACTGGAAAAAATGTTTAGTGCTTGAATTGTTATACTTAAAAACAAAATTATAAGAAAAAGGAATTGAATGTAATGATCAAGGACCTACATATCTACTGTTTGAGACATACACTTTAACCTCTTCCAAATAGTTGTTTGAGTGCATAAAAGAATATAAGTGGACTCCAATAGATTTCCATACTGAGGAAGATAACTGCAAATAATAAATTATTCAGCTGAACTGAAACACCAAATGTCTTTCCCTTTTTCTACCTTTCCTCTTGGTGGCTTCACTGTAGAGGCTTGAAAAGGACTATGCCTCAAGAGAAAACAGTGTCATGAGAGAATGCAGATCAACTACTATTTAGAGTTTACAAAGATAACTGTAACATGTATGTACTTTAAAAAAAAGGTATTTTATTATTGAAGGCAGGCAAGTTTTCTTTGGGTGTTAATGTGCAGTATCTGTTCCATATTCCAAGACGAAAACCATTATTACGTATTTTTCTGTCTTGCAGCTATTCTGATCCATCATTCTATGAAGAATGCAAAGCAGAATATTTGAAGCAAAGAGAAGAATACAGAGCAACTGGAATTAAGAAAAAAAGACAGAAGGTTACTTCAAATGTATAATTAAAACTTAAAATGAACTTCTCACATTTTATATACAACTTTGATTTTCAATTGATTTAAACAGACTTAAATGATCTGTACCCCTGTGTGGAGTTTAACTGAAATACACAAGATGAAATGAAGGGAGAATAGAATAATCTCTAAAATTAAATTTTTAAATTTTCTGTAGTTAAAGATCTAAAGCATGCTGTTGCAGTTTGCAAGAGAAGGTGCGAAGGCCTGTTCCTCTGTCTGGACTTGAGATTTTGTTACCAGTTTGCAAGTTGGAGTTTACAAATCCAGAGTGTCCATTTGGAATTTAAAGCTTGTGTCTAGGTATGTGAGCTAGGCTACATAAAAAATTATTCACCCTTAAATTGTATTAACTGATCACAAATTGTGTATACATTGAAGCTGGTCTATTAGTCATCACCTGATGCTGTGTATGGAGATGCACTTCACTAGAAGAGAAGGGTTGCAAATGCAGAAGAGAAGAGCTGCTCAGACCAGTGTGAACTAACATTTTCATGAGAATGTTGAGTCATATGAGAGCCTAGTAGTACTTTTGCCTACACTGTGACTCATTTTTAAATGATGTTGCCAGAAGGGATGGAAGCCTTGTGTTTGTGCGTGGCCCAAACTGACCGTTTTGACTCTAGAGGAGAATGTAATCTGATCCAGACTTTGAGAACACAGAATAAGCTGCCACTCTTCAAGAGCGAGCAAGTGACCACACTTGCAAAATTATTGCAGCTATAGGTGAGTAAACAACTAAACTAGACATGTAAAATGCAGGTCACTTCTTGCAGGAACTAAGTGAAAGGAAGTCCCTGATTAAAAAGGGGCTTACAAAAGATCTTTCGTGTATTGGTACTTGAAGCTGCTTAATTGTAGAACTCTCAAATGCATAAATGACTTCACTAGAGATAGTAATTCAAAGTTTTACAGGCTATCTTGGAGTATCCTTTGAAACATTCTGAAATAAAACCAAATTCTTTACAAGTAGGGAAAGGCTGCACTTAAACTTGGTAACTTTAATGCCCTGGTTTGAAAAAAAAAATAAAAAATTCAGAGTACATAATAGGATTTGATACTTCTTCATCAGAAGATGCAAAATTTGACTTATTTTAATAGTTTCACCACAAACACAATATTGCTCCAAAGCTATTCAAGTAGGAAATTCAAATCAGACTTTGACATCTCTATGTGAAGGTCTTAACACTGCAAGTTAGTCCTTGCCCTTTATTCTGTGCCTTTTATCAGTAATAACGTTGCTTCAGCAGAGTGGCTGGAGGACTAGCGAACACTTGTGAATGAAAAACTGAAGAGATGTGTAGCATTCTGCCTTGTAAGGCAAACTTAAGTGGCACTCAGCTCTAAAACTAACCACTTTAAAATAGCGTATGTGGAACAGTGTCCTACGCGCGTACTTGCTCTTTTCTCCTTAGTTCAAGCATTTTGGAAAAAAAAAATATTCCTAATCAGTTAGTGGAAAATTAGTTGTTTTGCTGTATTTTAAAAAAGAGTAAACTTAAGGTAGATGGCGAAATGTATTTTTAAAGATAGCGCCTATTCTGGTATGCCGTTATGAAAATCTGCTACATTTTCAACCTCTGGAAATCCAGCCTGGGTATTTGTAAATGTTGTCAAAAGCCTTCCCAAAGAGGATTTGTGTGGGAGCAAGCATTCCCTTAGGGGCAGTGGTATGTGCTGCCAGTGGTATGTGCCTGCACTGAGGGCTCACCTGGGTCACCCTTAGGTTTCCAGCACAGCTGGTGATCAGACACAGCATCAGCAATGGGGTCTCCTTTTCTGGCTCATCAGAAAATATGTTCAGCCAGGGCAGGGGAACCCCAGTGCAGTGACCAGTACTGCAGGGGAGGAATTAGTGCCTGGAGTAGAACAAAGCCCAGGGTGGAACCTGCAGGCATTGCTCCCCCACCCTTGACGTGCTGTATGTGAACAACAGCCACAACTCACTTCTGCACTGATAACTAAGCTCTACGCTCAAGCCTGAAATCCCGTGTACTGGATGGTGCTGTCAGCCATTTATCTCTCGTTCCCTACACTGTTGTGGGCGTAAGGAAGAACTGGGTTATTCGAGCTCCTCCTCTGTTTGCCCTGGGATGCACTCAGAGATGGGATTTGCCCTCGGCTCTGGCATCAGCTTCCTCTGTAACACATCCATGGCCGTAATGTGATGTTCCCCAGTTTTGAATTCTTAATTTCACACCTTTCGCTTTCTTACTGTCTTGTGCAATATCCTGTACTTTAATTGCATTTACATCTTTTATTTAAAGTTTAAATGAAAGAATGAGTACTATGAAGTGACAAACTCATACTACTAAATTCCTTTCGGGTTTGTTTCTGTCTCAGCTATAAACTCTCCTTCCTACTCAGTTTAGCAGGAGGCAGCCCTAGATTCTAAACAAAGTAAGAATACAGCAGTAGTATTGGCAAAGCCTTCAGCTGTGTGCAGGGAACTGGAAGTTTTTTTGCTACATGTTGAATATTTTTTAAAAAGCACTTACTTAGTAATGATGAGAGGATACAACTCTGGAAGCCTGTCTGTCTTTCCCCCTCAGCCCCTCCACCTCCCAACAAAGCCAAACATGGTAACTGCCTGTACTTGGAGAGAGCAGCCAGCCCTAGGTGATGAGGCAGGGAGCTGACATTGTGCAGACATGCAGTACTTCATCTAGCCATCTCCATCTAAGCCAGGGATTGCAACTCTCATTAATGGTCACTAGATATTTCTTTTTTTTTTCATTATGAAATAAATTCTGCAGGGTCTGAAGCGTGGCAGTGCCACTCGCCCATCATAGTTAATGTTTGTATAAAAGCATCCGATGTTTTCTAACGTGACCTTCTGAAAAATGAAGGTGGCATTACCAAGTGTTTATAGCCCCAGTTTTAACACTGCCTGTTGCAACTGAAGCTTTTGCAAAGGTACACTGTGGCCCTACGACAAGCCTGCCCCCCTGCTTACCTCCTGTAACCATGTGCCCAGCCTGCTTAAAACCAACCACTACAAGGCACTATTCACTGGCATTGATGGAATAAGGTCTTAAAGCTGGAAGACTGGTTTGTCACTGAGCACCCTTGCTCAGCACAGCACGGCATCTGTTGCCTTTTCTGCAGCACAGGGGCTTGTCTGTGCCTCTTCGTAGCAGTTGGCAAGCCCCCAAAACACCCCATTTTTCACTGGAGACTGCACCCTCTCAGTGTATTAAAGCTCTCTTCAAACTCCTGAGGGAGGCTCCCTACAAATGCAAGATCTGAAAGGAAGGAGGGAAAAGGTGTTATATATGAAAAGCTTTCATTCGCTGTATTATGTTCATACAATTGCGAGTAGCACACTCCTCCCCCCCAAAAAAGGGGGGAAAAGCCTGACCACTCAGGACCCAAAAAAAAATACAAAAACCATATCAGAACCCCACGTGCCCTTTTGTATTCAGACTACACAAGGCTCTTATTGCCCTGTGACGACTGTTCTTCAGAGGGCCTGTCTGAAGATTAGACAACAATAGAGGTGTCAGTACTGGAGCTTTTCAGTCTTCCTTTACCAGGCCAGAGCATCATTTAAAGCTACAGGTGTCTCAGCATAGGAGTCTCAAAGTCTGCTGCACACTGGTTTTGAAATAAAGTTCAATCTGCTTTATCTCACCAGTACAGTTCATATGATACTTACGTGGGCCTGTGTTTCATTACTTGGAACGCGTATTGTCTTATTGTAACTCCACCATATGTCTAGTGCTGCTCTTGTCTTTTTCCAGCTGTAAAAATTAGATAGTGCATCACAGCTAATTTGGGAGTTCACTTTCTTCAATATGGTTAGTTCACGCAAGAGGAAAACTGATCAGTTTTAAACCACCAAACTGGCAGGGAAACTTAACATTATCAGATTTTAAAAATATTTAAAATTAACCAAACAGTGCAAGTTTACATATACGTTATTAGAAGGTTCATCCAACTCCCCAAATATCCAAATACATATTCATCAGCTTGCCATATGCTCACTTAAATGTGCAAAGCAACAACGTCCTCCTGTCCCAAAAGCTGTCTTCCATTTCTGTTAAATGGAATTAGGGCTTTCTTAAATTAAAAATTGTCACACTGGTAGGAAGGTATAAAATATTCAAAGTTTGCATTCAAGTTAAAATTTGCTTGGTGTCATTTAAGAATTATTTGAGGATTTTGGTCCTTACTATGTGTGATTTTATATAACACAAGGACATGTGCACACAAACACCAGAACGCTGTTACTACAGCTACTTCTGCATGTAATCTGCTGTCACTGTGATGAAAAGATTTCACTTCTGAAAATGGAAAAAGCACTGTAAGCCACTAGCGGCATGGATTTAAATGACTTTTCCATCTTCAGTCAAAATATGATTGTTAAGCTTAGGAACAACAGATGCTTCACAAGCCAGCAAGCTCCCAGGTGACTCCAAATCTGGGGACTTCCTTTTCAAATGTTACAGCCTGGACATGGCAATGAATGATTGGATTGGAAATGCTGCCTACAGCAAGCTCTCCATCATCAGTCCCACTTCTCTCCAGTATCAGCATTCTCCTGAAGTCCCTCTCGGCAAACATTGCTGCTGCCTCCTCCAGAACGGGAAGCAGCACAGAATATAAACCAAGAATCAAAGGCAAAGCCCAGAAATTCTCAGGCTCTGCACAGAGCAGCTTAATTTTAAGTTCCCCTGTCACAGAAGACAGGGCAGGCTGATCAGAAACCTTTTGACACAAATAGTCGAACAGCTTTGAACTCATCGTAGCTTAAGGTAACTAAGTCCTTCAGGTTTCAACATCCAAGAGAATACTTTTCCCAGAATATGCTGAAGCAGGCTACAGCAGATGGCTGGTTTTTTTCCCCTGAATGAAAAAGGATGAACCTCAAATTTAATTGTTTGTATTTGGAGAAATATTTATACACAATCAAGGAATTAAAACTTAAGTAAAAGTTTTGTGCCAAATACGGAAAGGAGATTTGTAAATGAAACCAATTTCAAACAAAAATAAATTTATTTAAAATCTTACACAATAGAATTCCTTCATTGCACAAATCGTATTGATGTCTGTTGGATAATACATTACTTAATAAAAAAGCCTCTGTAATATTGAGGTGGGGAACCCCAAAAGTAAGCCATATAGCTTATGCAGCCA